TCTATACTCATTACTTCTACTTTCTCCTCTGACTCCTTTCTGAACCCTCTTCAGTCTGGCTTCTGACCTATCATTCAACTGAAACCATCCTCTCCAAAGTTACCAATAATCTCTTCATTGTCTTTCCTACCAATGATTACATTCTCCTCTTGGATTCTCTCTGTCCAGCTTTTCATAAGATTGCTCTCTCCTGGTAATCTCTGATGAGATTGCTCTCACTACAAGAAACTAGTGATGGAGTAGATAGAGCCCTAGTTCTGGAGTCAGGAAATACTGAGTTCAAATCCAGTCTGACAGTTACTAGCTATGTGACCCTGAGTAAATTACTTACTTTCTATTTGACTCAATTTCCTTAACTGTATAATGGGAATGAGAATAATAGCACCTACCTCACCGAGTTGTTGTGAGGATCAAATGAAATAATATTTGTAAACAGTGCTTAGCACAGGCCCTGGCATATAGTAATCACTATATAAATGCTTATTCCCTTTCCTAATCCCTTCCTGGTTCTCCACCTATCAGTTCCTTCTCATGTCTCTCTTTGGTATTTCTTCATGTCATGCCCATTAACCATGGGTGCTCCCCAAGACTCTGCCCTGGGCCCTATCTCTATCTCATTTAGTGTTCCCTTCAGCTCTCATGGATTCATTTATCATTTTATGCAAATGATTCCCATATCTACATATATGTACCCCTAGTCTCTCCTGAGCAAGAGTCACTCACCAACTGGCTCTTGAAAATCTCAAAATGGATAATCCTATAGGCATCTAAAACTCAACATATTCAAAACAGAACTCATTCTTTCCCTCCAAACCTTGTCCTTCAAACTTTTGCTGTTGAATGTACCACTATTTCTCCCAGACTCCCAGATTTTCAATCTCAGTTTCATCTTTGACTCCTTACTCTCACTAATCCTACATATCCAATCTTTTGCAAAACTTGTTATTTTTACCTTTACAACATTTCTCATGGATGTTCCCTTCTCTTCATTCACACAGCTATAACCCTTATTCAGACCCTCATCATCTCTTGCCTAGACCATTATGATAGACTTCTAAGTCTCCCTGTTTGAAGTCTCTACCCTCCCCAATTCATTGTCCACTTAGCTGCCAGCGTTATTTCTCTATAACTCCAATCATGTCACCCTTTGCTCAATGAGCTCCAGAGGCTACCTATTACCTCCAGGATCAAATATAATCTCCTTTGTTTGGCATTTAAAGCCATAACCTGGCCCCCTCCTACCTTTCCAACCTTCTTAGAGTTCATTTTACTCCCTTCCACTCACTATAGAATCTACTCACATTTGCCTCCCCAAAGTTCCATAAACATGATGCTACATTTCTCATCTCCATGCACTTCCATTGGCTGTCCCCTATGCATGGAATGCCCTGCCTCCTTGGCTTCCTTCAAGACTCAACTCAAGTTCCACTTTCTGTAGAAGGCCTTTCCTGGTTCCCCGAGGTTCTAGAGTCTGCCCCTTTCATATTATCTGCCATCAACTCTCTCTATCTCTGTCTCTGTCTCTATCTGTTTCTGTCTCTCTCTCTCTCTATACATATATATATATACACACACACACATACACACACATATATGTACATATATATACATATGTACATATATGTACCTTATTGTTTACATAGTGTTTCCCTTTTTGGAATGTATACTCCTTTGAGGGAAAAGGCTTTTTTCCCCCTTTATTTGTATCCCCAGTGCTTTGCCTAGTAATTGGCACATAGTAAGCATTTGTTGACTAAATACCTAATTTTGAATTCAAGGCATGTGTATATTTGGATGGCTTTCCTGGGTTTCCTTGTGGAGTTGATTTTTTCTTTTTTTTGAGATCAGATTGGGGGGAGGGCATGTGTGGGTTAATGCTTTCTGGCCTTCGTGTTTCCTGAAAGGAATATTAATTTTTCTTTTTGTTTAAAGCATGAAAATAAATTCCAAAAATAGCTTCTGTCTCCGATACATGTCTTAGCCTCTGCAAGGTTCTTAGTCTGTTACGATACATAGTAGTTTCAGATGACATCTTTGCCCTGAGAAATAATACAGTATGATTCTACTGCATTTGTATTTCTAACCCATGTAGCCTTTTTTCACCAAATGAAGCCTAATTAGTGCCTAATTGCTAGAGAACTTGTATAAAACTTCAAAACTTGTACAATAAATTACAAATAGTTTAAATGAAAATTTTGAAGTTTTTTTCTTAAAAAAACAGTTGATTTTTCTTTTATACAGTCTGTGTTGAAGGACACAAGGCATACACTTCGCCCTTATTTTCCTTGAGAGATTACAAGTTCTTGCTTAACCAGTTAGTCAGACTATTACACCTAGCAAAGGTTTTAGCTTTTCAAAATTCATGTTAGAACATAAAGTCTTTTGTTTTCATGAAAATTCCTTCATGGGTGTGACATGCCAATCTTAATTTCTACCATTCTCTATAAGTTTGGGATAAATAATACTTCAGATCAACAGTATTCAGATTTGGGTGAGTTCACTGTTTCGAGATGATTGCCTCAATTTCTTACTTCACTTGAAACTCACATTAAGAAGATAGTAAATTGTCCATTGTGTATGTTATTGTACCTTCCACTATAGTCCTACTCTGGTGACCCATTGTGGCGAAGTGACCCTGGGGCTCTCAAAAGCTAGAGCATCAGCTCTGGAAGGTCCTACCAAATTGATGGCATGCTTTAAAAATGAGAAGATGACAAAGCCAGGGTTCAAAACATCTTGCCAGGTTACAACATTGGGTTAAATCAAATAAGATTAAATTTTCTAGAAATAAATGTAAAGTATTACACTTAGGTTCAAAAAATCAACTTCACAAATGCAAAATAGGGGAGATATAGTTAGACAACAGTTCTTCCAAAAAAGATCAATGGAGTACAAACATTGATAATATGAGTCATTAGTGTTCTATTGCCACCTGAGATAGCTAATGCAAACTTACCTGTATATTAAGATAGTCACAGAATAGTTTTACTTCACCCTAGTCTGACCACTACTGAAGTATTGCATTCAGGTCTGGATGGACAATGAGAAGATGGAGAACAACAAGAATAGGGTAACAAAAATTATAAACAACATATGAGGATCAGTTGAACCTCATATTTAGTTGGTTAGTCTGGAGAAGAGAACATTTAGAGGAGGAGGCATGGTGACTCTTCAAGTATTTGAAAGCCATAACCTGGAAGGGGGATTTTGTCTGCTTGGCTCCAGATAGCAAAACTAAAAACAAGTACAACAAAAACAACGAGTACAAGTTGCAGGGTGAGATTTAGGCTTGAACAGAGTTATCTGATAAAAAGTGGAATGGGCAAATGTAGGATGGGATGGATTCCCCTCATTGGAAGACTTCTAAAGAAAGCTGGACAACCACTTTGATGGTAAATTCTAGAGATTTTCAGATATTGGTTGGATTAGATGGTCATTGATGTCATTACCAGCTCAGAAATTCTGTGATTCTTAGAATAAATCTATTGATGTTCGATGTGTCTGTCATCAGAGAAATATTCAGAGAGGATTGTCACTAGAAAGTTAGCCACTGGGTGATTTTTTTTTTCAGTCATAGACACTCCATTTACTAAGGTGAAGAGAGGTTGTCAGGAAGGGAGGGAGGGAGAGAGGAAGGAAAGCAAGAAGAGATAAAGGCAAAAAGAGATAAAGGAAGGTATGAAGGAAGAAAGGGAGGGAGGGAAGAAAGGAAGAAGGGAGAAAGAAGAGGAAGAAAGAGGAAAAGGAAGGAAGGGAGAGTAGGAGTGAGGGAAGAAGGAAGCAAAGAAGAAAGGAAGGAAGGGAGAGAAGGAAGGAAGAAAGGAAAGAAGAAGTAGAGGGAATGAAGGGAGAAGAAGAAGGAGGGGAAGAAGGGAAGAAAGGAAGGAAAAAAATAAGGAAGGAGGGAAGTAAGGAGTAGAGGGAAGGGAGGAAGAAAGGAAGGAGGGAAAGAAAGGAAAGGAAAAAATCCAGTGTCTACTATGTGCCAGGCACTGTGCCAAGCACTTTACAAATATTATCTCATTTCATCCTCACAACAACCCTAGTATTTATAGTATTATTATTATCTTCATTTTACAGTTGGGGAAACTGAGGCAGACAGCAGCTAAGTAACTTGCCCAGGGTTACACAACAAGTAAATGTCTGGATTTGAATTAGATTTGAAGTGGTTAGATTTGAATTCATGTCTTCCTGACTCCAGGCTCAGTGTTCTATCCACTGGTTTACTTCAGTAAGTGCCTGCTATTTGCCAGACACCATGCTAAGCAAAAGGTAAACAATAGCTCCTGATCTCAAGGATCGCACAGTTTAATGGGAGAGACAACATACAAACTGTTGTACAAAGACAATACAGGATAAATTGGAGGTAATCTCAGATAGAGGGCATTAAGATTAAGGAGGCCTGGCAGCTGAAATTTGAAGGAAGCCAGGGAAGTTTAAGAGGCAGAGATGAGACAAGAGAGTGTTTCAGACATGGGGGACAGAAAGTGTAAATGTGGGGAACCAGAAAATGGATTGTGGTATGTGAGCAATAGTAAGTCAGTTCATGTCACTGGATCCCAGAGTAGATGGAGGTGAGTAACGTATAAGAAAACTGGAAAGACAGGAAGGAGTCAAGTTATGAGTTTTGAAAGCCACATAGAGGACTTTCTATTCAATCTTAGAGGTAATATAGGAAACTACTGGTTGTGATCTGCATCAATGGGCAGAACACCTACACTTATGAAATCTGATGTTCTTGAAGCATTGAAGTGTGCTAATGTCTATTTTTTATAACTCTTAAGTCTTCTCTTATATTTGAAATAAAAATCACAGACCATTAATCATTTAGGAGGAAAAAAATCTACTGATAAGGAAATGTAACAATTCATTTCTAGACAACCTGTTTTATAAATGCAATAACAATTGAATTCAAACACTTAAAGACAAATATTGTGCTAGAGAAGAAAAAAAAATTGACTTTTGAAAATTAAATTTCGAATTTCATGTTCTTGAATCAGAGCCTACCTAATCTTTGCCAAAGCAGCTGATAAGGGAAACTTGAAAGCTATGGAGAATATGGCTGATGCTTTGCTTTTTGGTGATTTACATGCTCAGAACATCTCAGCAGCTGTAGTCCTGTATGAATTTTTGGCAAGTGAAGGATCTCATAAAGCCCAAAATGTAAGTCAACTTTGGGGGGAAATGCTACATACATACATATATATATAATATATACAGGGAGAGGGAGTGGGAGAGGGAGAGAGAGATCATTTAACAATTATTTACCACATACTTGGAAAAGCAACCAGTCAATAACATTCACCCTTTACCAATGACTCCTTAAGATAACTACACAACTTCCGTAGAATCATAAGGTAAGTCAATTGTAGGACTACAGAATAGGTGCTCCATCCATTCAAGTTGTTAATCAAAGAAGCAAAATTCAGGCTCAGAACCCACAATTCTCTAATTCAAATTTTCTGAACATGCATTTTTTTCTTGCCTGTTTTCAGGTAATCTGGGACTATACAAAACCCCTAATTTAGTTATACTTCATTTTAAGTTAAAATCCAGTAGATTGAACACAGAAACCAAGAAGTGAATCTAGTTGCTACCAGAATATAGTGACTGATTATCTAAAATTAAAAAAAAAAACTCTTTAGAAACTAAATGTATTTTCTCTTTAAAATAACATTGAACTATCATAATAGAAAACTGGAGTCAAATAAATCTCCATCTTCTACTTCTGAAAACCCGAGGGCTGTGTTAGGATTATGGAAGAGGTCAAATGTTTTGATCACTTCCTCTAATGAAAAGGACAAAATGACATTACATGATTCTCTTTCAAACTAGTGCACATTTTCTCTCTACTAAAAGATGACAGCGAGACAACAGATTTGACATGTTTGAACTTTAATAAAGTATAGGATACACTAAAAATGATTATATCCTAAGAAGAAAATCTCAAATGACATGAAAAGTACAAAATCTATGTTTAGAGCATGGTATCATTGATGACAAAGGAACATCTTGAGGCCTCGTATGTGGCTTAACTTTATTCTGCAGCAATAGGGTGGACCCAGTAAGTACAGTGTTACTAGGAATTTTTGTATCTAGGCCAAATAAATATAAACATAAAGCATGCTCAAGTAGATGCCCTCTACTGAGTGAAGAGTGCACCATAGCCCACCATCTGGTAGCTTCCTGTATTAACTAATTATACTTACTAACTAAAAGCTAATCTGTTGTTTCTATACTGCTGAAGGTCTGTAACTGTAGTCAATGGCCTCTATATTTGGTGTCCAAGTCACATGTCTAGTTGCTCACCTCAGTTCTTGCTCTGCCCATAAGCCCATATAGCTGTCTCCAAGTGAATGTAATGACCACAAACCCATTGCCACTGTTTAAAAACCTCAAAATAAGTATCCCAACTGATTGCACAGGGATAGCATTTTCTTTGTATACAAAGCACAGTATTATTGTTGCTAATATATTCTAAAACTGAGTTCTAGTTCATGGATGTTGGATAAATACAATGGAAAAAAGATATTACTATGTAGGTGATCCAACAACTGATATTAGCTCTTTACTCTCCTGCTCTACTACAAATTAGGAAGATAATAAGGGAGGAGGAAGACTTATCATAATGGAAAGACTGAACACTTAAAATTCCTATATCCTGAACTAAGAGAAGAAAGCTGCTATTGACTGGTCACATAATTCCTTGATATTCATCCTAAGACACCACCTTTTCTTAACGATATCTTGTATTTAATGATATATCACTGTTGGGACACCCTTACCTATTTCACAGGGTTGTTGTTGAGAAAGTGTGTGTGTGTGTGTGTGTATGTGTTTTATTATTATTATTATTATTTGAAAATGCCACAGAAATAGGAATGTGAGAAGTTTGTGAACTGGGAGCATTTCACATTGAACAATATGCTGATGGTCTGGGGTTTAGTCCCCATATGCACCAGTTCCCTTTACCTAGAAACAAGCAGCTTCATAAATAGTCAGTTGGTCAATAAACATCTGTTAAGCACCTATGGTCTCAGGTTAAGGTCCTATGGTCTCAGAGCCAGTACTCTTTCCATGGTGCTATTTTTCTAATTTATAGTGGGTTTTTTAAATTTTATCACATGTCAGGAACTTTGCTAAGGGCTTGGAATACAAAGGAAGATAAAAGACTCCCTTCCCCTCAAGGAGTTCACAATCTACTACAGGAGACAACATGCAATATTTTCCATATAAATAAACTATAGAGAGGATAAATTGGAGATAATCAACATAATTCCTTACAACAATGATAAGGGAAAGAATATGAAATCTGGAGCCAGATTCCTAGGTTCAAATTCATTTCAACTATTTAATACCTGTGTGACTCCGTTTCTTCATCTTTAAAATGAGGATTAGGTTTAGTTGATTTTAAAGACTCCCATGAAACTCAAACTCTATGATTGCAGCTTATAAATGCGTGCCAAAGACCAGGAGAGGAGAAATGTCTGTAACTCAGTGCAAACGCATCACCACAGAAAAAAAAAGTCAAGCCACAAACCTCTACTATAAATGAATCCTTTTCATCCATGGAAGATGGTATATATGATTAAAGAAAGTCTATCACGTGAGCAATAACTGTGATTCTTTCTCACTCCACCACCATATCCAATCTTTTGCCAAAGCCTGTTGATTTTTACCTTTGTAACGTCTCTCATGTACACTCCTTCTCTTGTCTAACACTAGCACCACCCTGGCGCTGGCCCTCCTCACCTCATGCCTCAACTACCGCAATAGCCTGCTGGCTGGTCTCCCTGCCACGAGTTCATCCTCCACTCAGGTGCTAAAGCAATTTACTAAAGTACACATCTAACTTTGTCAGTCCCTATTCAGTAAATTCCAATAGCTCCACAATCAAATATAAAATCTTCTGTTTGAATTTCAAAGCCTTTCATTATCTGGCCCACTCCCACCTTTCCAGTCTTCTGCAATCCAGCGGCACTGGCCACCTTGCTGTTGCTCACATAAGACACACTATCTCCTGGATATTTTTCCTGTCTGTCTTCATTGCCTGGGATTATCTCCCTCTTCATCTCTGGCTCCTCCTGGTTTCTGTGGCTTCCTTCAACTCCCAGTTAAAATCCCATCTTCTTCAGGAAGTCTTTCCCAATTTCCCTTAATTCTAGTGCCTTCCTTCTATTGATTATCTCCAATTTATCCTGCATATATAGTTCATACAAAGTTGATTTCATGCTGTCTCCCTCCTTAAACTCTAAGCTACTCGAGAGAAGGTAATGTCTTTTGCTGTTCCTTGTATCCCTGGCACTTATTACAGTGCCTGGCACATAGTAGGTGTTCAATAAAAGTTCATTGACTAAATTGACCTCTTTTGTCTTTGCAACTTCTAGTCATTGTTCACAGGGTTTAGAGTGCACCTATCTCATTTTACAGACGAGGAATATAGACCCAGAAAGATTACTGCTTCCCCAGGGTCAAACAAATAGTAAGTGGAAGGGCCAGGAATGAAATCCAGGCCCTTTGACCCCAATCCTTCACTCCTTCTACTATTCCATATAAGAATTGTTCTACCCTTTGCAACCAAGCAGAATAAGTCTGACCCCTCCAAAGTATGAAAGCCTTTCAAATATTTAAATATAGTTATCATGTTCTAGTTGTCTTTGTCTTTGACTTTTCTCCAGGCTAAATCCTCCTTAGTTCCTTCAAAAGATCCCCTTATGACACAATCTGGAGGCCCTTCACCAAATTGATTGCACTTCTGTAGACACTCCCCAGTTCATAGATGTAGCTCTCTTGGAAGCCATATTACACTGTTGGCTCACAATGGCCTTGCCAATGTGTTCAAATTACCCACAACTTTTTCAGACACACTACTACCTAGCTATGCCTACTGCATCTTATCTTTGTGACTGATTTTCTGAACCCCAAAGTAAGACTTTATATTTATCCCTTTTAAATTTTTGACACAATGGCCTGTCTTGTAAGGGTCTTCTTGAATCCTAACTTAACCAGTGTATTAGCCATCCCTCCCAGCTTTGTGTCATCTATAAATTTGATAAATATGCCATCTGTGACTTTATTGAAATCATTGATAAAAAGTGGTAAATAGCATAGGATCAAGCTGAGATCAGTTGATAGATAAAGAATCCAAACCTCCCAGTTAAGAGGAATAATAATAAAGTAGTCTTGAAGAGAAGCAGTGGATGTTTAGGAAACTTCATGTGAGAATTAATGAGGATACTGCAGGATATGTAGAAAGAAAATGTTTTTCTAAGGGTAACCAATTAGGCGCTTTGTCATTTCTGTGATTTTTATACAGAAAACAGAAATTCAAAATTAGCAAAACTCACCCTCTCTTTGCCATTTATTACCATTTCTGGACCAAAATTAATTTTCCTTACTCTGTAAAACAAGAAGTCAGCTTGAGAAATCTATACCTAGTTCTTACTTAGTCCACATCAGAAGAAAGAACTGGACAATTCCTATTGTTTCACCCTTAAAAATTAATCTGTTGTGATTTTGAAAGTAAAATTCTTATTAGAAACTTAATATTAGACATCAGCGCAAACAACTAAATTTGCTTATACATTTAAGTTAACTTGACAAAATAAGGAATCCTAACACTAGTTTGGTCACTGCTCTTAAGTGTCCATCAGGATACTTTCTCCATTCTCCTTTGTTTTTCTTCCTATCAATAAATGTGCACTGCATTTACAGGATCATAGATTTATACCATGGAACTAGCAGTGACCTCAGACACCAGTTAATCCAAGCTCTCTCAAGTTACAGATGAGGAAACTAATGTCGGGATGTTCTAACTTGTTCAAGGTCACACAGCTCATACTCATGAGAAGTCCTTATTTGAAAACAGGTCCTATGGTCTCAGAGCCAGTACTCTTTCCATGGTGCTATTTTTCTAATTTATAGTGGGTTTTTTAAATTTTATCATCTTTCATGAAGGTCTTTTCAGATTTCTTTGTATTCCTCACACTTTTCATTCTTATTGTGACACAGTGGGTAGAGGGCTAGAGTCAGGAAGAACCAAGTTCAAATCTGGCCTCAGACCTTACTAGCTAGATGACCCTGGGCAAATCATTTTACCTCTGTCTGCTTCAGTTTCCTCATCTGTAAAATGGGTATAATAATAGCATCTACCTCCCAGGGTT